CGCTTTACAATTCCACTATTCATTCACACACTGGTGCAGACAAACCGCAGTTGTAGCCACAGCTGCCCTGGGGAAGACTGACAGAAGCGAGGCTGCCATCGGCCCCTCTGGCCAACACCAGTAGGCGGTAGGGTAAAGTGTCTTGCCCAAGGACACAACGACCAGGACAGAGATAGCTTGGGAATCAAACCGGCAACCTTCCGGTTACAGATGAGCTTCCCAACCCCCTGAACCACGGTCGCCCTGGTAGTGCACATGAGCCGCAATCCTCGTTTGTTGTGCAATTATGTAAAATAAATGAGGATTGCGGCTTGTGCGCACTACCACAAGCTGGGACATAGCGTCAGAGAGTTATCGATGATGCAAGAAGGCAGCAAACAGTGCCGTTTTGCTAGCAGCAGCTGGCAACACAGAGAAACGTACAAGGTGTTTTTTGATGTCAGTGCTGTGACATTCCAGCTCCATATTCGCCCCGCTTGTCAGGATCTCTATGAAATCATATTTAAATGTACTGAGTAACATTATGCATCGTGACTGAGAGTCATCAACATCAACGTTTGTGTTGATGACTCTAAGCCACAATGCACGGGTGTATTTTAAAGGGAACCTGTTATGCTCATTTCCAGCTCGGTATTTTGCTTCTTTGACTCTTGGCAGATTATCCTCTGTCGGAAGTTTTAACCCCACATCTCTAAAACTGTAATTTCTTCATTTTGGTTAGACCTTGCCTTTTTTCTGCAAAACACCTGGTACACAATGAACTCACTGACAGTAGCTTTACCTACTTACTGTAAACATTTAGGCTAAATGTATTTAAAAAGCTGATGTAGCCTCTTTAGTCAACCTGCTTTGATACCACTTTAAACATAATAACAGCTAACGAGGGTTAATGTAATTATAAAGAATAGCTTAGCTACATTGTACAGTAAAAAAGCCCATTGCCTTTACTAAAAATGTCGTATTGATTAGGATGGAATAAGCACATTCTTGTTATTGGTCTAAAAAAAGACGTCTTACCAGATTATTCTGTCAACTGATTCAACAATGGTAAATGATTAATCAATGATAGCTGATTATAAGAATACAAAATAAAATATCTCCTGGTCACACAACTGTTGTCCTTTCTTCTTTAGGAAAAACAAACTAATTTAACTTAAATTAAAGAAGATTTTTTGGTGTACTTTAACCCTCTAATATCAGGAGATCATTAAATTATGAATGGCAGATAGAAAGTGCTTACATAGAAAAAGGGATTAGGTGAAAGAGGCAAGTTGTCTCAAGGCCATCTGACAGAACACTTTAATCAGTTCAGCTGTCTAAACAGTTGGTCAACAGCTCACATTTTTCTCAAGCTGTACTCCTGTAAAGACAGTCTGAAACATGTGTTTACACTTCAAGTCTATTTCTGTCATTTATGGGCTCAAATACAGGTTACCTGGAGCTTGCCTTGCCGGAAACGCATTCGTTTTTAGGGACATATGAAGCTCTGGGATTACTGCTGCTCTCCTACTGACGTGCTCCTGTCTTGCACCTGTTGACACAGTGCTGGTGTGGAAATCATTTGGGCTGATACGGTCCATATCTTTCTTTCTATTTAGCTATTTGGTCTTTTTTTATTTATACATAAAGGGTGATTAAGTAGCTAATATGAACGTGAAAACAAATCCCAAAAAATAAGAAGGGTTAGTAAAAGACTGAATTATATCTGATTGAGAGAAAAAGACAGAGAGGGACAGAAAAGTCAGAGAAGCGTATAGGATAAGGTAACCGAATCACTGGAGGAGAAAACAAGATGCTGTAGGCTGGAGATAGATTGATGAGGAGTAGAAAAAACTGGGGGATGGATGGATAAAAAGCTTTCCAGGCCTCTAGTTCAATGCTCAGTGGTCTTGGTAAGGTCAATGACAAAAATCCAGGGACCCCTGTAAGACACACACACACACACACGCACACACACACACACACACACACACACACACACACACACACACACACACACACACACA